TTAAAAATTGTAAAATGACTAATATATCCTTATCTTTAAATAAAACAAAAGGAAAAAGGAAAAATTAATTGCAATCATAATCCCAAATTTTTTTAAAGAGCTCAAATGAGTCTCAAATAAATTATTAAAAGGGTAATTAGCACATAATTTTCCTACCTTTACTATTATTGCAAAAAACGTCCATATTTTTTTTATTTTATTTTTTTGTATTTTCACTCTTAGTTACACATTTGATTACAGAAACCATCATTTCTATCAATTTTCATTTAGTTTCTCAATAAAAAGTTTTAAAATGACAAATATGCTTTCATATTTAAATAAAAAGTCAAACAATTAATTGCAATCATAATTTCAATTTTTTAAAAAATTACAAACGAGTCCCCAATAAATTAATAAAAAAAGTGCAAACGAGTCCCAATTAAATTTATTTTAAAATAAAAAAATTAAAAAGTGCAAATAAATCTCAAATAAATTATTAAAGAATTAGAAATTAAAAAAAAATTATTTAAATATAAGGGTATATTCATTATTTCACAGTTCTTTATTAACAAATTGGATTCGCACAATCAAATGTGTAATTAAAGGTTAAAATGTCAAAAAAATGAAATGTAGGGACTTTTTCGCAATAATGGTGAAAGGTATGGACATTATGTACTAATTACTCTTTTAATAATTTATTTGGGACTAATTTGCTTTTTTTTAAAAAAATTTTGACTATGGTTGCAATTATTTTTTTCTTTTTGTTTTATTTAAAGAGAAGTGTATATTCGTCATTTCATAATTTTTAATTGAGAAAATAAATGAAAATGACCTTTTGCGCAATGAAATGTGAAAATAAGGATGAAAATGTCAAAAAATGAAAGTTATTGACTTTTTCCACAATAACAATGAAATGTGGGGACATTATGTGCTAATTACCCAATAAATGAATATAAGTCTATCCCCAACAACTCATTTTGATTGGCTAGGGTGCCTGATCCAGTGTATTCGTGCTGTTCAATACGAAACTGAGAGACAGGACATCCCTATTATTGAACATTGCATTTTACTGACCTTTGAGCTTTGGGTTATGGTTTGAAATTTGAAGAATGAAGCGGTTGCATCGTGGCGGACTGGCGTTGGAGCCTTAGACAGTTGGTAGTGGCTGACTTGTGTTGGACCGGCAACAGCAGGAGTGGTCAGTAGAAGAATCAGAATCGCAGGGGTAACGTCGTAATAGGAGTAGCGTGTAGTATAGCAGAATCAAAATAGAGTGGGTATGACTTTCCAAGGGAAGGGAAGGTTTTTTTATTTTAATGTCGTACACAAAATCTTCTTTTGCTTTTCTCCAATTTGCAAAGGGCAACAAGGGTTGGAGTCAGGTGACCCACCAGGACCCACTGAGTTAATAGATGAATTTCTTTAATTTATAAACCATCTGATATAGTTTAAGATAAAAAAATGTGTCAAAAGTGTCACAATTGTCCTAAAAGAGTCTTTTCATAGAAATCGAAGAGAAAATCTTTTCAAAGTCAATGTCTTCATTTTAAGGAAAGTCATTTGCAGCAAGACTAGCCTTATATCTCCACATGACCTTTTGAATCTCTCTTAATTTTAAGTATCTATTTAAAATCAATGGGTTTTGCATCTTCAAACAATGTGACAGTTCCCAAACGTCATTTTCTTTCGTGGACTTTATCTCTTTATTCATGACATCAATCCACTCTTAATAATTATTCATTTATATGGCTTGATAAGAGTTGATTGATAAGATATTCTTCTATCAATCCATGATATTCTTATTTTCATAGAGAAAGACTATAAAGTCTTCTGCAGCTGTCTTTCTCCTTTTTATGGTAGATTTTTTTATGGCATTTGTTTTTGAGTTTGTTCTTTTGCAATAATCTAATGATTGTGTATAGGAGATTTTGTAATATTGTCTTGATAAAAAATTACTTTTTAAACAAGACCTGAAGTAAGAATTTGTCCATGGTCCTAATCATTATCAATTGTAAAAGAAAAGAAACACACACACACACACACACACACACACACACACACACACACACACACACACACACACATATATATATCATTCCTTAAAGACAAAATACTTAGCCTTAAAATCTTATCTTCCCCCTCAAACTCTACATCCTCAAAAAATCGAACATTTCATGTTTCGAAAATTGACACAATATTCGGATCTTTAAAAAAATTGTAACCCCTTAACAATTAATTTACTTTGAACTTTATTGAGAATTTAAACTACAATATTTAGTGCTCCATCCTAGAGAGATTCTGACAAGATGAAGTGACTAATCATAATCCTTACCATGTCCTTAAGTGTCATGTTTCATCTCTCAATAACACTATTCTTGCTAGGAGATCATGTCACAGTATGTTGTGGGACGATTCCACATTCCTTTTGGAATTTAGCAAAAGACCTCGTATATTATTCTCCCAATCCGTCATATATGCCATAATATTCATTACCATGGCCAGATCTGAAGTGTCAGATTCCTTTACTGAGTTGATTTTCAACCTAGCCTTGTGAGCCTTAAGCATGTCCCATGATTGGGATTTCTCATTAATGAGATACAGATTTCTGTATGAATTAGTTTTAAGATGTCAAAAGTTCTATTGGCACATAATATCCTTGTATTTGTTTATTTCCCCTTAATGTAATTACTATAAACATTTTAGTTTAAAAAAAATCAAGGGATCAAGAATTTATTTCCAACACAAACTTTTCCATTCTTTTTCCGAGAGATGTAACATAAACGCTTGTGATATAATGAAGCAAAATTCTTATTGGTTAATTTACATTTAATACCACATGATTCATATGCAATATTTCTTTATAAGAGACAACTGTATTAAACAAATATATGTTATCATAACCAGATAGAGAATTGGAACCCACAATATTTGAATTAAGAAAAAGACCGAACCAATTATTTTCAATTGAACAAAAGTAATCGAATTTGTCCAATATAGAAATAGAAATCAAATTTCTTTTAAAAGACAATACCATAAATATCTCTTTCAAATCCAAATAATAACCAATCTTTAATGATAACTTAAAAATCCATATAGTCTCAATTATAATTGATTTGCCATCGCCCCACATAAATGAATCTTTCAACATCCGGCGCTTCTGAATGTTATTGGAATTTCACGCTTTATAATCATAAGACTTATGTGGTTTGAACAATTCTACTTATCCGAATTCCAATTTTATTAGCGGAAATCTTATTCGTAAGAGTAGTGAGTCCTTAATGCAAGATCTATATCCATGTTGCCAAGAACGATAAAAATATTTTCTTTCCAGCACTTAAACCTTGATTCAAGTACTGTAAGTGAATCGACGTTTGCAGATCTTGCAAAACTGGATGTACTTACTAAATAGATAATTTAAACATAATTAACATGTTTACATGAGAATCCATATTAAACACAACATTGACATTTAGTCTTTGGACATTGATATTAATTTGTAAGTGGTACTCTGGTTTAATAATCAAACATTGACAATAAATAATGTCAAACATTAAGTATATATTTGAATGGACTCATTATTCACATAAAAATAAACTTTATAATTGTCACATATTTAATATAAAACGTGTGCAAATAATTCAACCAAATATTGACATTCCTTTTGGCTGGTAAATATCCACATGAATTGCATACACACAACATGTCTAATATTTTAAATTAATTAATTTAGACAAGAGATGTTATTTTGTTAACATGTTGCTTCAATTAATCTATTTTAGAAACTTTAAGTACCAAAATTTGAAATTTATTTTTCTTTCTTTCTTTTATTTTAACAAAAGAAAAATGTGGATAGAAAACCAACGCCTTATTGCACAGCCACTCGGAGCCGCATCGCTTGGTTGCCGTTTTGAATTAGATTTTTTTTTTTTTTTTGAAAATCCCCCAAAAAAACAAAAATCCAAAATTTAGAATTTTAGTCTAGAAAATTGACATCCCAAATTGGGAAATCCGAATTATGACTTTCAATCCTAAAATTATTTCTTGAAAAATTCTGAATTTCTAAATTTATGATTGAAATTCACATTCCAAATCAAAAGATTCCAAAATTCAGTGTATGAATTTCAACCATAAAATCATTTCTTAAATCTTAATGGTTTAACATCGAATTTGCTTTGATACCACTTGTTTGAAATTTATGAAACTTAAATTTTAAGAAATTGAAAACCTAATTATTTAATTGTCAAGATCATTCATGTCAAATTATTAAGAGAATTATGGAACATACATTAATTTATTGGGAATGATAATTTATTATTGAATCTTGATTTCAGATCTTGAATTTTGAAGATCAACTGCAATTTCTTTATGTTTGGCTTCTTGATCTTTAGTCTTGAATATTGACTCTTTTGATTCTTGAATTTTTGTTCTTGACATTGACTTCTTACTACATAATGTTGATTGTCTCAATTCTTTCTTCTTGATTGTTGATTTTCTATTCTTAATCGTGGGTTTTAAATCTTCATCTTTAATATGTTTTCTTTTGTATTCTCGTATTGATAGAATGATACAAAAAAATGAAAATCACGTGTGAATTGGAAATTATAACCATATATATAATTTTAATATGTATTGACTCATCATCAAATACAATCCGGCCTCTACACATATTTAACCTACACTTTATTTAAATGTCCAAATCTCAATAAATTAATTTTTTTATCACTTTAAAACCTTGATTTTAAGATAATTTTTATATATAATTAATTACATATATAAGCACACGTGACAAATTAAAATCTAAAATAAGGATTGCAAATGTTGGCAAAATTCTATTTCAACCTCATGGAGGAAAAAGAAAAGGAAAATAAGCCGCACGCCTGCAGAAACGAGAACAGAAATCCCTTTTTCCATAGAACTGTTGAAGGCAAAGGAAAGATAGGCCCATTTCATGAAAACAGAAAATGTGTATCCTTCATCTTTAGCAATCAGAGCGTTTGGTTCATTACTCTTCAGAGTCTCAAATGGGATTTCTCTCAAACCCTCTTAACCCATTCACTTTTCACAGTAAATCATCTTCTTTTGCTCTATATATGAAAGAAAAACGTTAAAGTTGGGATTTTTATATGAAAATTGTGACTTTTATTTATAGATTATAATTAAGATTATGATTGTATACGCAATGGTATTTCTGAGTAAGATTTTTGGTTCTTGTTTATTGGCGAGTTGAGATTTGATTGTAGAGAATTTTATTTGGAAATTCTATTAGGATCACGTTTGTCAATTAGAAGGCTACATTTTTTGATTGGAGGGTTGGGATTTGATATTAGAACTTTGTTTAGAATTTTTTTTCCGGAAGAGAGAGCTTCAATTTTTTATTGGAGTGATGGGATTAGATTATAGAGAGTTTTAGTTTGGATTTTTATTTAGGAACATGCTTGCTAAGTGGAAAGCTACAATTTCTGATTGAAGAGTTGGGATTTGATTGTATTGAGTTTTGTTTTGAATTTTTGTTCAGGAACATGTTGTTTAAGTAGAAAGCTACAATCTTCTTCGTGCTACTCATCTTCCGGCATATGGGTCTCGATAAATGAGTTTCATTCTGGCAATTCCAATAGAAAGATTTTGACTTTCCGTATGGGTAGACGGTCATGCAAAATTGCTGGAAGAAAGGTATTCACACAGCACAGATATTGAATGCAACTTATTAATCCTCTTTTTGGAGCAATTTTTATTTATCAAGTTGTTTGATTTAAAATGAAGTTTAAAGGAGTTACAAACTGCACAGAAGTAGGAAATATATATTAGAAAAACGTTTTTACCGAAAAAAGCGTTGACAAATGTTGCTTTTCACAGTTTATTTGATGGACAATTAGTTTGGGAGGATGGAAGTATGTATGCTTCTATGGTCAGTGTTTCTTCTTTGTGTTTTGTGATATTAGGATCGTTGGAAGAGCTCTGGCTCTAGTTGAACTGTTTGTTTTAAATGAAATGTTGAAGACATATATTTTATGGATTTTTGTAGAGCATTTCAGTGAATGATGTCGCAGGATGGGTATCACAATTTTCTATGATCGTTTTTTTTTTTAATTAAAATATCTAACAAGATAAACATTATACAAATTTGATCCTATTGAATGCCTATTGGAGGCTCCTTTAAATTTTGCCTTGTTAAAGTGAAGAAAACATCAATTTGATAGGCATCTTATCAGGTAGATCTTGCAAGTGTATATCATATCTCTCATGTAATCCTTGTTCTAACATCTCTACGTTTAATCTGATGTTCCCCATTAATTGAGTTCATGACAATGACTGTAAGTCTGTTGACAGAAAATCCAGCAACTTGATGCTTCAGTTGGTATTTGATTGTTAGAATCTTTTGATCATCTGCGTTCTAAGCTTTTTAGGGGCAATTTCAAAAGAAGTGTTTCTTTTGATTATCGAGTTTAATGTTTCAGAAATGCATCTTACATGCAGACTGCCCAAGATGCTAAGAAGACGAAGTTGTATTCAAAAATTGGGAAGGAAGTCGTATCTGCGTAAGTTAAGTTTCTACAACCTCTCCACAATGTGACATGACAAAAATTATAATTACTAGCCTATATTTGGAAGGAACCAGAAGATACACAACCCAACATTATACAAACACACATAATTAAAATCATTAAGACATCATAACCAATGTAGTAAGCAATCAGAATCGAACTAAATCTCAGGTTTTCTTTACGGGGTGGTGTTGTTTTGTAACAGACTGTTTGGAGCAGTAGCGGATTTGAGACTGGTGGTAGGTTACATTGATGGTTGGCCGGGAACAATGGTTGTGCTGGTATGGTATCCAAAACAAGAGTCTTGCTTTCTGTTTTATGCCCTTTAGGCTCTTCAGTTGGCATATACCACCAGTTTCCATTTTTGAAGCCTACACGTGACATAGAACGCAATGAACAAGAATGAAACTTGAGAAGAAAGTAAGAGAAAGAGAGAACAAAGGGGAGAGAATCAAGAGAATTTAGAGGGAGAAAATACTGGTTTATTCAGTATCAAGTATATCTATTATAATGCATAAGGCTCCCTTTATATAGGGTTAACTAATCTAAGTAGGAACCATCCAATAAAATTCTAGAAAATCTATAAAATAAAACCCTAATTTAAGTCAAACTAGAAACCTATAATAAACTAAAATAAGCTAATAAAATCAAATTATATTTATTCCTGATATACTAAGAACTACTTTTATTCTTATCTTTATTCCCCACCAAAACCTTTCGTTCATTCAGGATTTTGCTTCTTTTATTAATTTTTCTTTGGTTGTATGTGGAGCTAGTATAAATTTTTGAAATGATACCAAGATCCTGACTTCACTATTTGAATGTCCTAGGGTCAAGAAAGGTGGAGTGAGTCCAGTGTCAAATACAGCTCTTGCTGCGCTGTTTGAGAAAGCTAAGGAGCTTGATGTACCTAAGGAAATCATAGATTGCAACATCAAGAGAGCTTCCGAGAAGGGACAGGAAGCTTCTATTGAGAAAGTATACGAGGTAGTGGCCATATAATCTGCACTATGATGCACCGACACGAATAGGTGTGTCCGAAATTCGTTGACGCGTGATTTTTGAAAAAGTATTGAAACGACACGCCATCGACACATTAATTAAATTCTTCATTTATATAGTATAAATTTATGGTTTGTTTGATTCCCATTTTTTGGGATAATAGATTTTTAATAATAATTTTTTGGAGGTTTACGTGTAAAATTATTTTATTGGGAAAATGTGTGGTTGAAAATAAGTTTGTAAAGAATAAGTTTGTTTACCAACTTGCTCATTTTTCAAGGTTAGAGACCAACCTGCCACTTGTGTAATAGAGTTGAGACCACAGTGAAGTTATATAATGTCATCACAATTCACCTTATTGACAATGTTGAACGCAACTCAAATTATGATTGATTTTTTGCATATTTAGGTCTATGGCTGTGGTGGAGTTGGCATAATAGTCAAGGTGTTAACGGATAAAATAAACAGATCGGTGGCAGCTGTTAGAGAGGTAGTGAAGGATTGTGGGGGAAAAATGGCAGATCTTGGATCCATCAGTTTCAAATTTAAACGTGCTCGGGTTGTAAATGTAAAAGCTACAGATGCTGATAGATATCCGATTCTTTCTGTTGCTTTGGATGCTGGTGCGTTGATGTCATTGAACTCTTAGTGGATGAAGATGATCCCGAGGAAGAAATGAATGAAAGGTACAAGATATTGTTCCTTTGAACATATGTTAAATGAAAGGTACAAGATATTGTTCCTTTGAACTTATGTTAAATGAAAGGTACAAGATATTGTTCCTTTGAACGTATGTTATCTTCTCACAGTATTCAGTTGTCTTGATCCCTTTATGTTCGTGTTTAATGAATCTGCTATAAATTACTTTTGGTTAGTGAGATAATAATTTTTTAATTGCACTCAGTTCTATGGTAGAATATCTCAGACATAGGTATTTTATGCTCGGAAAAGTCTTGTGTCCATAATTTGGTAGGGTCATGCTTCAAGTGCAAGGTTCAGACTTTAGAACTGCACTCCAAAAACGTGTAATAATTATCTTGCACGTTCAAGTTTGATAAATTTATTTAGAAGGTTAAAATTTTTCTTTCTTTATCGACAATCTTGTTGAAGGATGCTCCTGAACAACTTTTCAGATTTTTCTAAATTATGCTTATTCTTGTCAATAGATGTTTTCAAAATCGTAAGTTCATCAGAGAACTACCCAACCATATTAGCAAAGTGACGTGAGGAAGGAATAACATTTGAACCTGACAACGGATTTGAGCTTCTTCCTCTTACTGCGATTGAGGTATGCCAAGAAGACATGTTTTTCTTCCATTTATTATCTTTTGCCCAGTACTTTCTCATATACCATGTACTTGGAAATTTTGAGCTAATTAAAAGCTAATTTATTAGTGTAATAGGTTATAAAAGAAACCTACAAGATAAGGTGGTCTGTGTACATGAACAAAGATTTTTTTATACAAAATTATCTCCTTCAAAAGGAAGTCTAGGTGTTCATTCTGAAGATAATCATCGGTCCTATGTAACATCATCATTTTGAGGAATTATATCCTTAACATCATGTTTGGTGAAAGGATATCAATGATTATTTTGTGGTTTGTAGGTTGATGATGAGGCCATGGACTTGAACAAGGAATTGATGTCCAAATTACTCGAGCTCGATGATGTTGATGCTGTATATTCGGATCAAAAGTAACATTACCCAAGTGGATTTGTCTGATCAATGCTTATTTTTACCTTCTCAGCTGCTCAGCATCCAACTGAGATTTTGGGACTGTTAGATTTGTATCTGGGGCTTTGCTCTCTGGCCTAAGCCTTTGCACTTGATAGGAGGAATCTGAATTGCATCTCATCAAGACTTATACAACTTCAGGTGTGCTCTTACTAACAATTTATTTACTACTTAATTCGATGATTACAGCATCGAAGAACTGAAATATTACTCATTGGTTATTGCTCTCTCCCTCTTGTTTTGGCTTGTCGAAAATGAACTACAGTTTCTTTGTAATGAAAATCGTAGATGCTTGTCTATATTTAACTCCCATTTCTAACTCTTTGAGATATGACATGCTAACAGTTGGATTACATAGATCCTAATTATAATGCTCACTTATGACTTCGACCATGCATTATAAAGTGCGTATTGGGAATTCATGTTTTATACTATGTCGCTCTAGTTTCCTACATATAAGAAGGCATTTTTTCTGTCAGATTCAATAGAGGGGTGAAGAAGAAAAAGATATAATCCCTTCTCATTGTAATGAAAACTTCTGCAACAGCAAGTGGACGCAGATTGAACTAGTATAACTAATTAAATATATTTGTTTCTACATGTGCATTTCTGTTAGCTGAATTGTTCATTATTGCTCTCGGGTTTGGGAGTAGGCTTTATTGGTAACACTGATTAACTTCATTAATAAGATGATCTGAATTCACATATAATGCAGTTCTGTTTATTGCATACACGATAAGATGCAATGCATATTACTAAAACAACATATCATGCTGATGATCACTACACAAACATCTTCATTGTACAATTATCATCTATATCAACTGTATATTGAAATATAGAAGTTATATAACACATTTGACACAGTAATGCATACATATTCTTCAAGTTTAAGCTTTTGGAACCCAACATCCATGGAGTCCATATGGAAGGCCATAAGGGAATTTTGCTCTGGCAATTTCCTTGAATGTGGATCCGTCGAGTAGTAGGGCGTACCCTTCGCCATTTTTGTCGCTAATCATTGAGATAACTACTCCTGTTTGTATAATGTACACTTATTAGGACTCTGCCGAACATACAGCCCTTTAACACGACTTTAGAATTGCGAAAACTAGGAAAAAAAGGATTCCGTAAGGAAACTGCAGAAGGTGAGGGGATTATAGAAAATGGTCTTCTGTGATACATAGTTTTCATTACCGAATGCGATTAGACAGGATTAAGGATTAAGAGAAATAATTGTCTTGTTTAGTCTTGTCATGCGTATCAAATATGTAAGAAATGTTTTAGCTTGGTTGGATCATATATAGCTTTATGGTGACTCTACTCAAGTCGATGGAATATGTCAATAAAGACGTATGATACGGAGTTCTGGATAATTACATGTCATAAAACACGTATCAATTGAATCACCCAACGGTAGTAGTTGGTAACTTTGTCAAGGAGGTAGAAAATTGTACGAGTTTTTGTTCGCTTACCGTCATCTTCGTCAGTTGCACCAGGACGAGCCACGAAAAGTGGTTCGGAGGGTATAGAACCCTCATCGAGCCAGTTCTTTGCCTTTTTCTCAAATAGATCAATCTGCAAAACAATTGGTATATTCCTTAGGTAAAACTAACAATAAACTCGGAAAGTTGAAACGGACACGAGTCATAGAACAGAAGAAAAAAGGACGAAGGAATAAAGACATGACGAATTTTGTGACTTGTCCAGTCGAGTTTGAAGTAAACATTACGCTTCAAGCGTGTCATAAAATGAAATTGGGTTTACCTTGGTGAGGGTGTTTGGGAAGTTGCAAGGGCGTTGAGCTCCACAAGCATAGGCATATCTGTATTTCTTTCCCAAATAAGCAGGATTGATGCTGCACATGTCCATTCCTTTTCCATGTTCCTCTGGTTCCAATGCTGCTTCTAACTTTCCATATGGAGACCCGTCCATTGGTATTCTAAATCGACCAACCCTGTACACACGACCCTATACTTGTTGGTAATTTCGTACAATTTCAAACACGATTAACGCTATATCTCATCTATCGACCAATTTTAAGAAAAAATGTATATAGGATGCACGAGCAGAGATATTGCAACTCTCGAGCCTCAATAAGTTGTTAACCGTACATACTATGTACGATTTTTTGGTTGTCGATCGGAGAACTAAAGTAGAAGAATATTCTCTTTATGCAAATTTCAAATGCATTAAAAGGCTTCTATACAGTAACTTGCAAACATACTTTTTAAGGTTTCGATTCCTTTAACCTAAGATTTATGACTGATCCTAGGCATTTTGTCTCAATATAGACAGGCCACACAATTTGTTCATAGATATCCATGCATGCAGAAGAAGTAATTAAAACCTACGTAAAATATGTAGTAGTGGTTCGTCCACCACTAGGTACCTTTTTTCATTTTCAACACTGAACATGATACGATACGTCCGAAGTGGGGGACAATTCCAAAACTTAATAAATCATTAATGAGTGGATCAAATAGATGTTTGACAAGAAAGTGATGCCTGCACTAACAAAAGGTTCCAATAATCATATAGTATAATATTTTAGTATCATATGTATTGTTTCAATATGAAAAAGTTAATTACAGTAAGTCTTTGTTTGGTCCAATTTTTTCAAAACTCATTTTCTCCAAATTTATTTCCAATCAAACATTTTATGAAATCGTAACTTTTATCAGTTTTTCAACTACGCCTGTCATCAACATATTAAAATATACAAAAAATCATTTTTAGCTAAATCAAATTGCAGCTAAGTGGCTCGATTGCCTTATGTTTGAAGATTTAATTCTCTCTTTATTATCCAAAGTTGAAAATAAATAAATTAGCACATAGTTATACCTTGCATCTGGTAAGACATCTTCACCGGAGAATGATCGGAGATTTTGTAGCCTGAGCTTTTCCAGGATGGTTGTGTCAGCGTTGTGTTCGCAACAATCAGCGATGATGGCTGTCACTCTTCCATCTTCATCTTTCTCCTCGTATGCATTGATGAAGTGAAATGTCACATACAAAGGAACTTCTACGCTTGCCACCTTCGAATTCAAGGAAAAAACGTTTCTGATAAGCAAGCCCTAAAATTTGTATATCTTTAACACCAACTCATTACTAAATAAAAAAATTTGAGGAATTTTAAGCGTAGCTGCGATTAGATAACCTTGTACCCTTCTTCTGTAACAACAAAATTGAAGTAGTTTTAGTTTTAGATATTGCTACTATGGTAAGCAGATATTAGAACTTGATCGATCACTAACCAAACAAAAAGTGAAAAAAGAGAGAATCTTATTTAGAGGGAGATAGAAACTTACAATCTTGCCACTAGCTTTACACATAACATGCATGAACCCTTTCGACTCCGGGTGCCACTCGAATTTGTACAGTGGTGTGGGCTCAGCTTTTAGCAGATTTTGTGCACAATATCTCAGTGGCATTTCTGGCACAACTACATAGTGTTCTGTAACTGGAAAAGAATGAACCCAACCTGGGGCAGGTCCACCCCTACATTTCACCCTACCAATAATTTTCCTCTCATTTGTGCCTGCTTCCATTCTTACAACCAAGTACCCAGGATTTATTAAATCTGGCAACAACGTTAAAAAATCAGAATCTGTCACAATTGGATGGGCAGAATGTATCAGGCCTCCTAATGAGTCACTGTACTCAAACTTTCCAGTTGTGTCCAAAGTGTTTGGATCAATAACAATTGACCCTTTGATTGTTTCTGTTAGACAAACAACACGGCCGTCCCCGAGTTTAACGACCCCGGTATTGGCATTATCCGTCAACGAGGCGCCGGAGAATAAGTTGGCTAGATCACCAATGTAGGATAGGAAATTGTCAGTTTTAGGAACTTCAGAAAATTCTCTGTAGCAAAGCTTTTTGTTCTTCTTGGCTGCCTTGTATGCCTCCGATTCAATTTGCCGGTGTCCCATCACGAGCCGGCCATTTTCGAAGTGCAGCCGGACTAGTGTTGCATAGCCGTCAAACAGGTGTCGGAAACCGTAATCTCCGATGTGCCAAAGACCTGGACCGTTCCTCAGGTATGTTCCATTCTGCACAAAATTATCGAGTGACATGTGTAAGGAGAGAGCCTCACTTCTTGTTTTTAAATTTCGTAGGCGGATTGTTAAAATATAAGTATATATACTCTTATGTCCATTTTTTCTCGCTTTACATAGGAGCTCCCGAGATGCTCTCGGGGTCCCAATGCGCTCCTAGAGTCTCACTCTCTCTAGAAATTACATGGTTTTTACATAGGAAACCGGATGGCGAATTCCCCTTTTCAGGCTAAGATAGAAGTTTTAGTATAAAATATGACGTTTAAAACGACAAACTTTATGTAGGCTCTTTTTCACTTCGACATAACAAAAGTTCTCTTCGGAAAATTTCGCCAACTATCAAAGCCATATTATTATGCAGGGCTAATAAAGACAGAATAATTATAAAATTATTAAATAATATATTTAAAATGAGACTCCATCTCTCCATCTGTACTGATAGATACATGAATTATTTTTATTTTACCTGGCAAGATTTGATGATGAAAACATATTTAAATATTACTAATTACTATATCCATGACAGGTAATTCTATAAATATTAATATTAGTTGGCAAATTTGTCTTGAAGCTTAAAAGAGATAGAATATAATGAAAATGATGATGAAGCCCCTTCATATTTATGAATTACAAAGAGAATAAAACTATTTACGTGTCACAGCAATTATAAATAAAAGAAAGAAATAATGATTATGTGATTGTACACTGTAATATCAAATTTCTTGTGAAGAACACTTTCTGAGAAAATAAACCAATCTAGTTTTTGAGTTGCCTTTATTTTGTTATAGTGAGAGTACGGATTTTTTATTTTGCAGAAACCTTTTTTCAACTGTGCTGATAGATAGATTCGGTGCAAATAATCACAATAATCACTGTGTACACACACACACACACACACACACAGAGAAACATACCAGCCACAGTGGTATTTCTCCTTGAACACTAAGCTCTCCTTGCCAACGCTCCTGCCTTATACTACTCCATGCTGCAAGCTTGCTATCGTTTGGGACGACCTTTTTTGGCGATAAAGGAACAACTGCAGGCTGCGGTTTGGTGGCAATATTCATAATAGTATTGTTCGAATAAACACTTTTCCTCCTAGTGGAATACTTAACTTTCTCAAAAATGGATTTTTCATCCTTGGAACAATCACAAGACCCATCAAGAATCCTCACTTTCGTCGAGATATAAGATTTGGAGACTGAAAATGCTAGAGAAGCCATTAATGAAGGTTACTAGCTAGCTAGGGTTGAGTATAGTTTCTAATATGCGACAAGAACATATATTTTGATAAAAACAAGGATTTTTGATTGTATATTTATAGGGGATTTGTGTACTTAAATTAGTGGAATCTTAATTAGTGAAATTCCTTCATACTAGTAGACAACTTAAGTTTTGGTTACAGCAGTAATTATGAGTTCGTGGACAAGGTCTATAATAAATTACATCTCAACATGCTCCACCAATGAGTATTTTCAAACTTTTCCTTTTAAATATTATTAACACATGGAATATCGTAGTTAAGATATTTTTATCGTATATTTTTATTTTATTATTTTATTTTATGAAATTACTTCTATATTTCTGTGATTACGTAATNATTTTATTTTCCTCTTTTTTTTTTTCTGAAATTACTTCTATATAAAGGATTTGTCTTTCTAGTTATATATGCTCAACTGCAGTTGGTCATATTCTTTGTAAAGAATGGACTGAAAATATAACTAAAAATTATCCTTATTTTTTCTTTTGAGTTCTTGTCCAATTTATTTTTTTTATATATATACAGCTTTTTATTTTGCATTTACACGGAGTCTGGACCCGTTAAGTTAGTAATATGTTTGATTAAGCTCAACCAATCGAATGAAAATCGAAAATCAAATGTGATGACACCTCAATGTGAGAAACATCGTTTCACAACACAAGTCGATATTTATTCAGATTGTCTTTAATTGTATCGTAAACCTAATTACTTTCTCTAAAGTATGTAAACCACAATGAAAAAGAGAGCAAACTGTGACTCGTTAACTAAAGAAAATCTTTTTATTTTTTTTCATTTAAATAAGACCTAAAGTTTAATATATATTAAGGGTTGTCTTTTTATACTAAGAATTAATGTCTATGCATGCATGGTGTATAAATTATAATTCCTCTATATATTAATTTTTGCACAGAGAATATTATCTATGTAATTAGATGCTCTGACAGCCTGATCAATGACAACAATAAGAATGTATATCAGACAACAATTAGTATGCAATATAGGAGCTTATGTTTAGTTCGAAAGGAATATGCCATTAATAATGAAAAATCACTGATTTTTCATTATTACTATAGATATTATTTTTTGCAATCACACAATGTTAATAGAGCATGTCAAAGGCGGGACGACTAGTAGGAACGGACGCAGAAGTTTAAAGTTAGGAGACACAATCAAACTTGCAAAGAAGTTGAGAAAATTTTACAATCGAAAATTTACGTCCAAAAAATTCATACCCCATGTAAATTTGCATCTGAAAATTTACATGAGATATGACTTTTTCGGATGTAAAATTTCTAAATTTTTTGATGTCATATTCCTAATAAAATTTCCTAATAAAATGACGAAAATTATATTGAGAAATTTGTATTTCAAAAAAGTGTTAATGAAATAATTGAATTTTTTTTTTAAAAAAAAAATGCGAGTTAGACATCTTTCTTTAAGACTCGCGTTTAACTATTTTTGATATCTATTTGAACTATTCGATATGCCCATAATATAGTTCTCGCGATTATTGGAGAATTTTTAAAATTAGCTTGTTTTCGAAATTCAAATTTATTTTTATTTTGCCCCTATTTGGTGGAAATTAAAATCAAATTTTTAGTAAATTTTGATAAAAGTTAAATAGTTATGGATTCCATAAAATATGTTACTAAAATTAATTGTTAACTTTGATTTAGATTAAAATTTAAATTTCAATCAATATCAAATATAACTTAAAAAAAAGAAAATCAAAAGTTTTGGGGGGGGGGGGGGGGACGTGCCCCCAGGACCCCC